AGCTTGCTTACTTCAGCTGCATATCAATCTCACAAGCATGAATTAACAGCATGCTAAGCACATATAAGTCAGAAAAGTATTTGTCGGATGTGGACTCTATTATCTCAGCAACTCGAAAATACGAAAAACTAGGAACACAATTTTTATTTTTTTCTTTATTTTTTTGAGGTGAATTTGTTTTAGCATGTTGGCTCTGATACCAATTGTTGAATTTAATTGTAATCATGCTAAGAACAAGAATCACAGAATAATAAATTGATAAATCAAATTCATACCTGCGAAAGCTATCGTAAATATGAATAATAGCAATTAGATCTTCTCCTCCTTGCTCCTCACAAAATATTAACCGTCAACGAAACAAGCTAATAAAACAACATGGAGAGGAGAGGGGACCTAGTTCTTATATAGGAAATAATTAAGTTGTCTCATCACGACTAGACCTCTAATTAGAGTTTATTTGCATTCCACATACTTAAAATTTTCACATCATATTAATTACAACCCGTAAGATATAAAAGACCCAATTGATAACTTAATAAATTTGGCTCGATCACAAATATTATTATGAGCCATACATCTAACCCGTAAAATTTACAATCGAATATGAAGCCCATATTTGGAATTATTCCGACAAAGAGAGCTCATTATTATAAAGCAGAAAACAAAAAAGAAAAAAAAAAGAAGTATTATATGTACATAATTGTCTACATAATGGTATCCATAATTATATGTGGCACTGAATCCAACCTTTAATTCAAATCTCACACTTGCACATCAACAACCGAATGATTGCCACATCACATTATGGATACCATTATGTGCAATAATTATGTACAAATAGAATTTTCCAAAAAAAAAATGACTGGTTTCCGCCATATAACCGGAGCGAAGAAAAACTTTTATATGCAGGGTTGGTTTGCAGGCGAAATAAATGGAAGTTAGAATTAACTCAATGCAAAAAAAAAAAAAAAAAAAAAAAAAAAAAAAAAAAAAAAAGAAAGAGAGACTGCTCGAGAAGCACTGTAAATTTGATTATAACCCGAGTAAAGAAACAAGCTTTCTGAAAGAGGGAATCGCACACTAAAGCATCAAAAATCAACAAGCTATCATATGTTTACGAAACAGAAAACACACTATTACGAAATTGGTCATTAACTCACATTTTTAAACAGTTCAATTATTATCTAAATTGCAAGCGTATGCAGAAGTTGATATCAACCAAAAGCATTTTGGATCTAGGAGTTGCTATGCAAATAGTACAGGAGACAGGGATTTAAAAAAGGGAAAATTGCAGTTGAGGTACCAAACCTTTCGTTTATTAGCAGACTTTGCCCAAACTTTTAGTTTGTGCCACAGGAGGTACCAAACCTTCAAAAAATTCACACCCGAAGTCCAAATTGACAGAAACCGTTAGTTTGACTGTTATTGACCAAAAATTAAAGGTCTGACTAATTGTTGATTGATTTTTAAAGGGGCAAATGTGTAACTTTACATTTTCATATAAAAAATTTATATAAAAGAATTATATTCTGATTTTTGAAGAGTGGAGAAAATGAGTTGCAAGGTTTGAAATTAGTTTTTGAGATTTCAATCAAGCTACCGACGAGGGTGAGGAAGTCAGTGAGATGCCAACTTTAATTTTATTGGGAAATACCTGGTTTTGGTTCTTGGTGGGTAAAGAAGATGACTTTTAGTTTTGGGTGGGTGGAGAAGATGACTATTTTTTATTTTTTTATTGTTTTATTTAAATTTTTTATATGAAAATGTAAAGTTACATATTTATCTCATTAAAAATCAGTCAACAATTGGTCAGACCTTTAATTTTTGGTCAATAACAGTCAAACTAACGATTTCTGTCAATTTGGACTCCGGGTGCAAATTTTTTGAAGATTTGGTATCTCCGGTGACACAAACTAAAAGTTTGGGCAAAGTCTACTAATAAACGAAAGGTTTGATACCTCGGCTGCAATTTTCCCTTTAAAAAATAGGAACATGTGTCAAACACATTGGCCAATTTTGGAATAAATAAATAAATCAGGCAAATACTAACACACAACACATATTCTCAAAACTTGTCATTTTCATCTGTTTAAGTAGCTTTATCCAATTTTGAAAAGTTCTGATTCTTACAATACTTGTAATGAATTTTGTTGGAGTACGTAGGAAGACTACCTATTAATTGAATTGTTCATTTTGTTGGAGCAAAGCAAAATTAGGGTATCGTTACCCCTTTGGGGAGGTTTGACTTTGTATCTATGTCTGGATTTTCTTGTTTTATTTATTTTATTTGGGATGGCCCCAACCTATAAATTTTGTTGCAACTTGGTCCCTAACTTACATTTCTTGACAACATGGAACGTCGTTGGAGAATATTCACACGCTTGTTTATTCGTCTAATCATGTTTATTCGCTAAGAATAACGCTATTATCACAGGTGATAATTATCGACCTAGGTAACAATTGGTCTTTCTTATTCATTATTCCATAAATTAAATATATCAAGATTCTCTTGAACAGATCTCCCATTTAGAATTGTAAGCCACTGTTTCGTTTTCTTAAAAATTAATTTATTTTTTTTATAGTATATTTTGATAAAAGTTAACGAAATAAATATTTGAAAATTGATAAAAATTGTGAATTTCATGAAATGTGTAATTGACTTCAACTTATATTTTTTTTTATTAACTTCTTTAGCTATTAAAGTCTACTAGAATAATTGATTTATCGTGATGATAATTAGGTTGCTTGATAAAATGATTTAAATGGTGAAGAAAATTTGTTAAGTATAATGTAAGTAACAGTTGTTTATATCCTATTAGTGGAAGGATTGGTGTATTTATTTGTGGTGTTAAATATATTGTACTTCAATGCAAAAGAGTGTTATCTTGCTTGAAGGGGCTCTATGACATTGCGAGATTTGTCTAAATCGTTCAGAGAATTTGTGTCTTTGTGAGAGCATGATATAGATTTAACATGCCTATAATAGTTTCTCCATTTATAAAAATTTGACGGAGTTTTTGATAGTGATACTTAAATTTATAGTTATGATTTATTGAGTGTTATTGATTATTACTTATATATAAAGACCTGCTTGGTGGGAATTAAAATTAAATTTTTTATCGAAATCAAAAAAAAAATTAATTTTAATAATATATTTCTAGGAATCCATAACTTTTTAGCTACATATGTCATGACCATGGAAATGACACAAAACCCTAGCATTAAAATCATGACTTCAAAAATCAGGGAGAAAGTTTAACATTTCAAAAATCAGAAATTTTATTTTAATTAGCATTTTTATAAACCACCAGTGGCAAGCGCCGCACATGATGCCGCCTCTTGTCTTCTCCTTCACTAAGCTGCTTCCCCATCTCTCGCCTTCTCCTTCAATGAGCCGCAACCAACCACTACCAACGAAGGCGATCCACACACAAACCACCAAAGGCGAACGCCTCTCATGCTCGATGCCGGCATGACTGCACACATCCAATAGCCTTCTGGTTCTGGTGATGGCAATTTTGAGAATTTGATTTGTTGGTAGTGCTTGGGTGGCTATGGCGGCGATTTGTTTGATTTGGTAGTGGCGGTTGTTTTGTTGGTGGTGGATTCTTGATGGCGGGTTTGTTGGATTTTGTTAGTGGCGATAAGGGTGACGATGGTTTTGTTGGTGGTTGTGGTGCTGAGGTGATGGTCGTTGAAACCCTAATTTTTGTGGTGGTAACAAATGTGGTGGTGAAGTGTTGGGGATGGTGGTGATCGATGTGGCGGCAAATTAGGTTGCAGTTATTTGTTATTAACATTGCAATAGGTTTTTCTTGCATTCACAGTTTTGGCATTCATAGTCGTACCGTTCGTATTATTCTGCTAGTTGGTTGTCGCCTTTAGGCAGCAATGGTGGTGATTTTGGCAGCAACAATGGTTTTGCTGCTATTGGAGGCGATGGTGAGGTGGTGGTCACAGGTTGTGATTGTGGTCACAAGTCATTTGGTTGACTGTGACCATTAAATATGTTAACTTGTGACCAATAAACAATATGTGATCAATAAAAAAAGATAATTTGTGATCAAAAAATAATGTGTGATCTAAAAAATTGTTAATTTGTGACAAAAATTCGATAACTTGTGACTGTATAATAAATTGTAAATTATAATATTTGTGATTTGTGATCGATAAATAAATCATCACTTATAAAGTTTTGATTTGTGATCAATGAACAAATTGTGATCTATAAAATTTTTAAATTGTATCCATAAAATAATTTATGACATAAATTTTTTAATTTGTGACCAAAAAATTAATTAGTGGTTAACTAAATCATTAATTTGTGAGCAAATTATATAGATTTGTAACCTAAATATATTTAGTTAATAAAATAAATAATTAATTAAATAAATCATAAATAAACTTTAATAAAAATCAATTTTTGAAATTCGAAACTTGTAATTTTGATTTTGAAATGCATGATACTTAAATTCTTACTAATGAAATTTTTCCCTCGTAAAATTTTATTAAAATCTGCTTAAAATTTAATTTTAATTTTCACCGGATAAAAGCATAGAGTAATTATCTTCCTAGTAATTTATTATCTGTTATGTTGAGAAAAAGTAGACTTAAGTGCCATAGGTTCATGAGACATTTTAAATCTTATCGATGATTCATTAACGTGTATAGTCGCAATGTTTAATTTGGATGAGTCTAATGTCTATCATTAATCATGGAAGCTAAGAAATTGACGACTGACTGACATGATTCACTACGGTGCTGCAATGACGGAGAAAAAGGAAGTTGCTTGGTTCAGACTCGGGAATAATTTATACTACGTATTCTCAGGAGTTCATTCTGTTTTGGAAAGAATTAATTTGCTACACAGTCTGTTTCTTCACTTTTTGACCAGAAAAAGAAAATGAAAAGTGGTTTTATTTAAAGTAATAATTAGAAGGTCTGTCTAACAAAACATTATCCTGAAAATGTAAAACCGTCTATTTTGCAAGAGAGAGAGAAGCAGCTAAGTCTGTAAAAGAGAGTTTCAATGTAGCTTGAAGCAGCAGTCGAAATAGCAACAGCAAATTTGAAAGAGATGGACTTGGACCAGTCAGCATCAATGAAGTTCCAAGTGTACACATTTTCAAGAATTTCAATTGCCAACCTCGTCTAGAAATTACAACAGAGCAAGAGCCATAATAAGGACCATTTTAAAACACCTCTTAGGCTCTCAACATCAGATATCATTTTGCCTTTGTACCAGAAATACCAACACTGGAACCAAAGAAATTATAGTAAAGGCTTTCTTCCTCATATATTTAGCGAAGGAAAGAAAATTAGCTTATGTTAGTACTATCAAAGCAAAGTGAGTCAAATACATTACACAAGTCTGTCTATACATCATATACAGATAAGCATTCCTCGATGGAGACACGACAAATCGGACATTTCTTACATTTATCAGAGCAGTTACTGCATCAGATTAAAGACCAATTAATATGCAAACAAAGAATATGAGCAGCAGAGAGAGAACTAGCATATTGATCGTACCTGCACAGAATGCGGTGCCTACATGGAAGAAGAACTAGGCTAATCTCTCCCTCGAAACATAATCTACATAGAACTTTTTCCTGAACACAATTACAATAAAATAGTTGGAAAATCAACCTCAGAATGAGCATGTAGATTTACAGAACATGCGGACAGAAAATTTAAGTCAATAAAAGAAAACATGTATGCCTCTACTCTGAAGAATCTGGACATTTTATAACAACTTGAGCTGATAATAATTCAATACCGATCAGAAAAAAGTTTTCTTTAGGCTGCTTTATGTTCTGTTCGGTCAATCTTTAAGGTTGTTCAATATGCTAAGCATCTATCAAGATGTAAATGATAAAAAATAAGATCTTTGATACCAGATGTACGGAATAAAGATATGATCTCTGACTATAAAAGAGGTAGGTAACATTGGAAATTATTATTATTATTATCATCATTACTTTGGGTTGAAAAATATAGAACTACTTTTAAAATAAAACTTCTTGAAAATTAAATCCACTAGGGCAAATGGATATTTAAATGCCTGCACCGATGAATGAATTCTATTCTAGCAAATAGTAAAGTTCACCAAAATAAATAAAATAACAGCATACAACATGTTTCATCAAAATCATAGGAGATGATAATCACTATGGCATGGAAAATTCAGTATTATATGGCAGAGCATCAACTACGTAAGAAACCATTAGTCAAAACTAAGATGGTTACATGTTGTAGTCTTTCATACTCCTGTTGGTTGAATTTAGTAATTTCCATTTGCTCACCGAGAGCAGCTTGAAGTTTCCAAACCTAAAAACAAGAGGATCAAACAAAATAATTATGTAGAAATTGAGATGCATGCACATTGCAGTATGCTGGAATAAGATGAGGATTGCGTAGTCCAAAAATATGGTTATAATGTTCTACATGGAAATATAAATGCAACAAGAGATTATATTTACCTCCTCAGCGAGATCTTTCTTCGGCAGTTTCTTCACTATATCGGGAGGATAACCACAAAATGTGTTATAACTGTATCATTTATAACAGTAAATCATTGTGCTAAACGACCACATTGAACCTGTCTAAACTTGTAGCATCACATAAGATTTGATGCAAGATATAACGCAAATGAAGTTAATTGTTATGGAAGCGCAATTGAAAACAAATCAAGAACTCAATAAAGGTCAAGATCCGAAGAAAAGCAATCAAAAACATTTCTTATTTCAAATTAAATAGTAGTAAAGATGCTAGGGAAAAAGCACAGCAACTCGCATCGCCCAACTTTTTGTAGTAGGTTGAATTAGTTTCCATGATATATATGAGTTTGTTTGAGCCCCATTTTTTGGGGTTTATAGATTTTTTTTAAAAGAATGTGTGATTAAAAAGTAAGGGAAAAAATTTGTATTTACATGTAAAATTATTTTATTGAGAGACCATAAGGCTGAAAATGAGTTTAAAGAAATGAGATTTTTAAAAATAAAGCTCAAATGGTGGTTATGTAAACTTGCACTATAAATACAATAATCTATTTGCCACATTATTTGCCTTTTATAAAGAAAGTGCATGTTATTAATGTGAATCAAAAGCAAACTTCTTTTATTAGGATCTATGATGATCGAACTCGAGTATGAGCATCAGGTATGGGTATGTATCTAAGTGTCGAATCTTTTATTTTCCAAAATGTAGGATACAAGAACATGACTAAAAAGAGTCTAAATTTTGGATACAAGTATATGGGTATGTCTTTCAAGCTTCAATTTTTTTACTAACTCAAGATATTATTTTGAATAAACCAAAATCAGTTGTTTACAACGAAGGAAATAGTGTTGAATGAGGGGTTAAGATGAATAAAATAAAATTTTGTGATTTAGTTTTCAATTATGAGAAGTAAATTACTAAATGTCATATAAAATAGAAAATGAGAGACTTGATTGCAATTTGAATTTAGTGGAGCACTAAATAGTATTATATGGAACTCATTTTCATTTTATACAAACGAAACTCTAAACCATCGACACAAAGAAGGAAAAAAAGAAAAGGATAAGAAAAAAGAAAGAAGAAGGGAAAATCTAATGCCGTCGCCTTTTTCCACCCTTTCAGAGGTGGCGCTAGGTTTATAGAGAGTATAAACGGAAAAAAAAGGAAAATAAAATAATGAAAGAAGAAAAAGAAAGAAGCTAAAAAGGCGAAGTGTCCGGTTAAAACTTGGAAGATCAGACACATATCCCATACCCATACACACGTCGGGTCATGTCCGACACAGATACACCAACCATTTCAAAGAGTCCAAGCATCAGAGATTAGGATCACAAATATCCATTACCGACTTATTATGGTAGCTTCTCTTAAATGCTATGGTTCCCACCAAGATTAGGAATCCCCAAAATAGATTAGGTAAGATTTTATTCAGTTAGCATATATTAGGGAATATTCTGCATAGATTAGCTATGAATTACGATATAATTATTGTATATCCTATTTCTTTATTGTATAGTTGACTATACTAAGCTCAGATTGTAACTCTTGTATAAATACTCTTGAAATATATGAAATTATTCATTCAGCCAAATTATCTCCTCTATTTGGTATCAGAGCATAAAGGGAAAGAATTCCACTACTGTCCCATTCTTCTCTAGCTGAAAACCTAACAATAGCCTCCATCAGCCTTCCCTAATCCTAGCTACCATGCATCAAAATTCCTATATCATTTTAGCTACACTCAAATTATGAGATGTGATTTGTTCATGAACAGAGTCTTCCAGCAGCAATGTCTACAGATAGTGCATGGCTTAAGATATTTTACCCTGAGACACCGTCATGGAAGAGGCGTGCCTGTTCTTCTTGACTTGCTTCATCTAACGACCACCAGCCAAGCAGCCTGATTAAAAATTAACAAATATGCAAAATTAGTGAAATGTACTCCAACCAAGACCTGAATTAAATAATAAGTAAATATTCCCAATCTCTCTTCTATCTGATAGCCAATTGTTAGACATTACCTGGAGCCATGGTGCAAGAATGCAAAGCAATCACAAACTCTCGAAGAGTGTGTATAATATCTTCCTCTACCAGCTTCACTTTGTAGTAAAAGAACAATTGTCTCTACTAATCTTGATGCAGCAAACATAAGCCCAGCTGCTTGCAGTACAAAAATAGGAGAAAAGAGAATTCGAAGAGGAATGTGTCTAGCACCTGGTGGTGTTCCCTGATTCAAAACCATTAGTGACTTAGATGACAAAAAATTCCAAAGGCGACACTGTTCACTGACCAGTTAGCCACGGTGTCAACACATCTAATTGATACCTCAAGGTGCATACAAAGGAGGACTTGAAAACCAATTATTGGAATTTTCATAATGTGGCCACCAATGTCTTGCATGCCACACATTCTATTCCGAGACTGATCCTCTAAAGATACCACCAAGCCACTGTTCCAGTCTAGATATCTAATAGCAGTTGATGACGAACTTGCTTCTCTTGTAAGAGAATTTCTATGAATCACTGGATTAGACCATTTTGTACAGACAAGAAAAGAAAAGCACTCTGCAATACTATAGAAAAACAAAATAAGCCAAATTTCAGCATTGCTGCCAAAAGAAAGAAGGGTGAAGGTAAAAGACTATTCAAGGTCAGGGAATAGCACCCATAATTTATGAACAAGTCCCACCAGCCAAAGGCAACAATATCACCTGCAAAGTTAGAAAATATAGGAAATTAGAAATCAAGACTAAAGTTATATTTAGGAGAAATTAAGAATTCATGCAGTATGAAGCAAGCACTTGAATGGACAGTTCAGAGGACTACACAAGTCATATAAACCAAATTAAAACCTTAAAACAACTCAACACCAGCTCACTGCTTAGAAAGTGAAATCTTATTGTAGATAAAATGGAATATGGAGTGTACAGACACACAACTTGAGGACTTGAAGTAATTGTCTCTACCACCAATGGGCATGGGGCAGCCACAATTGAATTTTCTCTTCTCTTCCCATAAATTCCAACCAAATAGTAAGACTTTCACAGAGAACATGATCAAATGGCCATCACATATGGGCAAAATTTAAATCGTTAGCTATCTTCCGAACTACCATGATAATGGTAATATAATAATCAAGCACTAATGATAATTGAGCTTCCTTCTTTGTCTAGGGTAGCCGCTTGAAACATGGACCTTCTTGAGGGCAATTGTCGTACTATCACCAAGTGGAAATAAATAGGATTATTTGAGCTCAAAACCATGGAGAGCTATTAGATAGATACACGAGGTGTATTTGATATTGTAACGACCCAACATCTGTGTTCAAGTCATTATATCATGCTTACTATACGTTTCAGGAAAGTCTAAATCCATTTCACCTCTCACTGTATTCTATCATGTAGCCCAATTGATATTAGGATTCAAATTTAACTCTCCCATAAAGCAGAGATCTTGAGTTCGAATTATGGAAAACACGATAGAAAGCCATGAGAAGTAAGAAAGATTTACTCTCTCAAAATAGATAGTACGTATGATCTAAGACTTGAGCACAAAGGCCCAATCAATATAAAAAAAAGCAGGACGCTATTTAAGCCTCCCATAAGGTCTTTCTTGGGTCCAAACCATTTGGAATGTGATAAAAATTCACCAAGGGTAAGAGACAAATGCTCTCCCAAAATGGATAGTACATACGATATAACAACTTGGGAATAGAGGCTAAATCAATATAGATAGCACCAGACTAACTTGTCAATTCTATGTGCTCTCAGATTTGTTAAAGAAAGTTTTACCAAAAATAATAAGCCCCCATTAATTTACATTCTATTACATTTCATTTTTCTCTTCCCTATTTTCAACCACACAATCTTCCATAAAATAATATTATACGTAAATCGAAAACTTTTCTTTCTTTTTCAATCACTCATTTTTCAAAAAAAAAAATACTATTCCACCCATTAATTTTTCCAAAAAATGGGGTCCAAACGGGGGCTAAGGCTCTAGCTCCTGATATTGTTAAGTCATAAACAAAGCAATCAAAACTTTTAAATCCTCTAGGCATTAAATCTGCAACCTGGAACTCTTTTTTGATGTCAGACGAGCTGTGTGCCTAGGTGATGCAACCCATAATTGAGATCTTCCATAAGAATCCAAAAAAGAAAACCTTGCACCTATCCCTATTGTCTATATATCCCAAGCATCACATAAAGAGGGAGAGAATGACCACCAATAACATTATTTACCATAAATCCGATTGTCATTACTCCCTTTGTTCTCTCTTCATCATACCCCAGAGGAGTCACATAAAAGTTACCAAAGATTTTTAGCTCTTCTAGTTCACGTCCAATTTTCCAACTGTGATCAGAAGGCTTGGTCCAGTTATCGACTAATCGTATCTCTCTTTTCTCATGTCTATAGTCATTGAAATCTCCCAGGAAAAACAGCATCTAAATATCGACTCAACCATACTCGTATCTCTCTCTTTTCTCATGTCTATAGTTATTGAAATCTCCCAGGAAAAACAGCATCTAAATATCGACTCAACCATACTCTTTTCTCCCATCCAGATCATTTATATTGATTCCAACATAAATTTCCAATTACTTTTAGCCACCCTTTGAACATCAATTTTCTTAGTAATGAAATCACCACACCTTTCGAGCATTCTCTTTGTGACTCAGTGTACAAAGAAATCTTTTTTCTTTTTTCTTTTTTTCTTTCTTTTTTTTTTTTCTTTTCAATTATGCTTTTCAGAGCCCCACTCCATATGGTTCCATAGAATTAACGATTTCCCACACCCCCTCTCATATCGCTATTCGCACTCAATGATGGGAATTGATGCTATACTACAGCTACACTTCTCCCCTTTGACCAAAGAGTTTCGAGTCTTTGGAAAATTGAAGGATGACAATACATCTAATTGAAGGATGAAAATACTGAAAACTCCAAAAAAAACAACACATTCCTGAGTTCATTCGTGGAAGGAAAACACAGGATAAAGAACTTAGGATGCAAGTTCTCTGAGACTGCTTGTCCAAGTATCTTATATTTTGTTTATCAAAGATAAAGCATGGGATAAAAATGGCAAACCATGCATTTCCAGAATTAGAGCTCTCATTTTTCCATTCCTTCAAACTTAGAAAGGAAAAAACTTCATAAGGAATGCACTGAATGAGGCAATTCATTAATCTATTTCCTGTCTATTCAGTAATGAAGGCAACATTGGGCAATGGATTTAGGGCGGCCTCTAGTAACTAATGGATTTTATTTAGCTAAAAATCAGAACCTCAAAAATGCCATCTGCTTCCCTCAGCTGCACCAACCAACAATGATCGCCCAACTGCTGAGCATAGAGAACCAGTTTGATTTTATTCCAGGAACATTTACCTCAGAAGTCATTTGCCTAGTCTGGGGATTAATGGAAAATACTCAACAAAGAAGAAATACTTGCATATGGTCTTTATTGATTTAGAGAAACTTATAATAAGGATCTCAGGGTAATATAAACAAGGACTTGATATTATATATATACACCAAAATTATTAGGGACCACCTTTGGTTCAAAAGGAGATATAGCACTACTGCACAAGAAAATGGGTATGAACTCTGAAAGTGATGATCTGTGATAAGGTAGCAAGGGAATGTAATACGTATCAGAAGAGCAGAACTGACAATAATAACGACGACAACAACAATAATAATAAATATAGATTTATGGCATGCAAACTTTTTCTTTCCTTCTTTATGGCATGGGAATCATAGGAGAAACACATGCATAGAGCAAAAAGGGGAGGGGGGAGAGAGAGAGAGAGAGTCATACCACACAGCTTCAGGACGGTGAACACTGTAGCAGTAAGAAAGAAAATCATGGAGATCGCCACCCAGAAGTGCTAATTACAATTAAACTATCATTAGTAAAGCCATTTTGAAAACCAAGAAAACTAAAACGAAAATCTAGAAATATTCATAGCAAAATCAATAATATATTTCGATCTCTTCTGAACGACATTGTCCACATCACAAGAAAAAATTTTAAACTTCTTTGTAATGCACAAGAAAGTAACCAGTAGAATCTGGTTCACCAGCAAAACTTGCTATTGCAATAATAGAAGTGTAGTCATCAGAACTACTGAACAACGTTTAAGCACAGAGTAGGAACTAAGTTGGGCACATTTTATTATTTCTGTTAAATCAAAAGACTTACAGGAAGAGTTTCCCATATTGCCTCCTCACTCATGCTTTCATTATCTCCAGGTAATAAAGCCTTGCACATTCTGTTTCATTAATAGAAAATGTGTAAGGTAAAAGCAAGGTATTCCATGACAAATCAAATTATGAAAATTCCCCCCCCCCCCCCCCCCCCCGTCTTTGTGAGAGCATGATATAGATTTAACATGCCTATAATAGTTTCTCCATTTATAAAAATTTGACGGAGTTTTTGATAGTGATACTTAAATTTATAGTTAATGATTTATTGAGTGTTATTGATTATTACTTATATATAAAGACCTGCTTGGTGGGAATTAAAATTAAATTTTTTATCGAAATCAAAAAAAACAATTAATTTTAATAATATATTTCTAGGAATCCATAACTTTTTAGCTACATATGTCATGACCATGGAAATGACACAAAACCCTCGCATTAAAATCATGACTTCTAAAATCAGGGAGAAAGTTTAACATTTCAAAAATCAGAAATTTTATTTTAATTAGCATTTTTATAAACCACCAGTGGCGAGCGCCGCACATGATGCCGCCTCTTGTCTTCTCCTTCACTAAGCTGCTTCCCCATCTCTCGCCTTCTCCTTCAATGAGCCGCAACCAACCACCACCAACGAAGGCGATCCACACACAAACCACCAAAGGCGAACGCCTCTCATGCTCGATGCCGGCATGACTGCACACATCCAATAGCCTTCTGGTTCTGGTGATGGCAATTTTGAGAATTTGATTTGTTGGTGGTGCTTGGGTGGCTATGGCGGCGATTTGTTTGATTTGGTAGTGGCGGTTGTTTTGTTGGTGGTGGATTCTTGATGGCGGGTTTGTTGGATTTTGTTAGTGGCGATAAGGGTGACGATGGTTTTGTTGGTGGTTGTGGTGCTGAGGTGATGGTCGTTGAAACCCTAATTTTTGTGGTGGTAACAAATGTGGTGGTGAAGTGTTGGGGATGGTGGCGATCGATGTGGCGGCAAATTAGGATGCAGTTATTTGTTATTAACATTGCAATAGGTTTTTCTTGCATTCACAGTTTTGGCATTCATAGTCGTACCGTTCGTATTATTCTGCTAGTTGGTTGTCGCCTTTAGGCAGCAATGGTGGTGATTTTGGCAGCAACAATGGTTTTGCTGCTATTGGAGGCGGTGGTGAGGTGGTGGTCACAGGTTGTGATTGTGGTCACAAGTCATTTGGTTGACTGTGACCATTAAATATGTTAACTTGTGACCAATAAACAATATGTGATCAATAAAAAAAGATAATTTGTGATCAAAAAATAATGTGTGATCTAAAAAATTGTTAATTTGTGACAAAAATTCGATAATTTGTGACCGTATAATAAATTGTAAATTATAATATTTGTGATTTGTGATCGATAAATAAATCATCACTTATAAAGTTTTGATTTGTGATCAATGAACAAATTGTGATCTATAAGATTTTTAAATTGTATCCATAAAATAATTTATGACATAAATTTTTTAATTTGTGACCAAAAAAATAATTAGTGGTTAACTAAATCATTAATTTGTGAGCAAATTATATAGATTTGTAACCTAAATATATTTAGTTAATAAAATAAATAAATAATTAAATAAATCATAAATAAACTTTAATAAAAATCAATTTTTGAAATTCAAAACTTGTAATTTTGATTTTGAAATGTATGATACTTAAATTCTTACTAATGAAATTTTTCCCTCGTAAAATTTTATTAAAATCTGCTTAAAATTTAATTTTAATTTTCACCGGATAAAAGCATAGAGTAATTATCTTCCTAGTAATTTATCATCTGTTATGTTGAGAAAAAGTAGACTTAAGTGCCATAGGTTCATGTGACATTTTAAATCTTATCGATGATTCATTAACGTGTATAGTCGCAATGTTTAATTTGGATGAGTCTAATGTCTATCATTAATCATGGAAGCTAAGAAATTGACGACTGACTGACATGATTCACTACGGTGCTGCAATGACGGAGAAAAAGGAAGTTGCTTGGTTCAGACTCGGGAATAATTTATACTACGTATTCTCAGGAGTTCATTCTGTTTTGGAAAGAATTAATTTGCTACACAGTCTGTTTCTTCACTTTTTGACCAGAAAAAGAAAATGAAAAGTGGTTTTATTTAAAGTAATAATTAGAAGGTCTGTCTAACAAAACATTATCCTGAAAATGTAAAACCGTCTATTTTGCAAGAGAGAGAGAAGCAGCTAAGTCTGTAAAAGAGAGTTTCAATGTAGCTTGAAGCAGCAGTCGAAATAGCAACAGCAAATTTGAAAGAGATGGACTTGGACCAGTCAGCATCAATGAAGTTCCAAGTGTACACATTTTCAAGAATTTCAATTGCCAACCTCGTCTAGAAATTACAACAGAGCAAGAGCCATAATAAGGACCATTTTAAAACACCTCTTAGGCTCTCAACATCAGATATCATTTTGCCTTTGTACCAGAAATACCAACACTGGAACCAAAGAAATTATAGTAAAGGCTTTCTTCCTCATATATTTAGCGAAGGAAAGAAAATTAGCTTATGTTAGTACTATCAAAGCAAAGTGAGTCAAATACATTACACAAGTCTGTCTATACATCATATACAGATAAGCATTCCTCGATGGAGACACGACAAATCGGACATTTCTTACATTTATCAGAGCAGTTACTGCATCAGATTAAAGACCAATTAATATGCAAACAAAGAATATGAGCAGCAGAGAGAGAACTAGCATATTGATCGTACCTGCACAGAATGCGGTGCCTACATGGAAGAAGAACTAGGCTAATCTCTCCCTCGAAACATAATCTACATAGAACTTTTTCCTGAACACAATTACAATAAAATAGTTGGAAAATCAACCTCAGAATGAGCATGTAGATTTACAGAACATGCGGACAGAAAATTTAAGTCAATAAAAGAAAACATGTATGCCTCTACTCTGAAGAATCTGGACATTTTATAACAACTTGAGCTGATAATAATTCAATACCGATCAGAAAAAAGTTTTCTTTAGGCTGCTTTATGTTCTGTTCGGTCAATCTTTAAGGTTGTTCAATATGCTAAGCATCTATCAAGATGTAAATGATAAAAAATAAGATCTTTGATACCAGATGTACGGAATAAAGATATGATCTCTGACTATAAAAGAGGTAGGTAACATTGGAAATTATTATTATTATTATCATCATTACTTTGGGTTGAAAAATATAGAACTACTTTTAAAATAAAACTTCTTGAAAATTAAATCCACTAGGGCAAATGGATATTTAAATGCCTGCACCGATGAATGAATTCTATTCTAGCAAATAGTAAAGTTCACCAAAATAAATAAAATAACAGCATACAACATGTTTCATCAAAATCATAGGAGATGATAATCACTATGGCATGGAAAATTCAGTATTATATGGCAGAGCATCAACTACGTAAGAAACCATTAGTCAAAACTAAGATGGTTACATGTTGTAGTCTTTCATACTCCTGTTGGTTGAATTTAGTAATTTCCATTTGCTCACCGAGAGCAGCTTGAAGTTTCCAAACCTAAAAACAAGAGGATCAAACAAAATAATTATGTAGAAATTGAGATGCATGCACATTGCAGTATGCTGGAATAAGATGAGGATTGCGTAGTCCAAAAATATGGTTATAATGTTCTACATGGAAATATAAATGCAACAAGAGATTATATTTACCTCCTCAGCGAGATCTTTCTTCGGCAGTTTCTTCACTATATCGGGAGGATAACCACAAAATGTGTTATAACTGTATCATTTATAACAGTAAATCATTGTGCTAAACGACCACATTGAACCTGTCTAAACTTGTAGCATCACATAAGATTTGATGCAAGATATAACGCAAATGAAGTTAATTGTTATGGAAGCGCAATTGAAAACAAATCAAGAACTCAATAAAGGTCAAGATCCGAAGAAAAGCAATCAAAAACATTTCTTATTTCAAATTAAATAGTAGTAAAGATGCTAGGGAAAAAGCACAGCAACTCGCATCGCCCAACTTTTTGTAGTAGGTTGAATTAGTTTCCATGATATATATGAGTTTGTTTGAGCCCCATTTTTTGGGGTTTATAGATTTTTTTTAAAAGAATGTGTGATTAAAAAGTAAGGGAAAAAATTTGTATTTACATGTAAAATTATTTTATTGAGAGACCATAAGGCTGAAAATGAGTTTAAAGAAATGAGATTTTTAAAAATAAAGCTCAAATGGTGGTTATGTAAACTTGCACTATAAATACAATAATCTATTTGCCACATTATTTGCCTTTTATAAAGAAAGTGCATGTTATTAATGTGAATCAAAAGCAAACTTCTTTTATTAGGATCTATGATGATCGAACTCGAGTATGAGCATCAGGTATGGGTATGTATCTAAGTGTCGAATCTTTTATTTTCCAAAATGTAGGATACAAGAACATGACTAAAAAGAGTCTAAATTTTGGATACAAGTATATGGGTATGTCTTTCAAGCTTCAATTTTTTTACTAACTCAAGATATTATTTTGAATAAACCAAAATCAGTTGTTTAATTCAAAACCATTAGTGACTTAGATGACAAAAAATTCCAAAGGAGACACTGTTCACTGACCAGTTAGCCACGGTGTCAACACATCTAATTGATACCTCAAGGTGCATACAAAGGAGGACTTGAAAACCAATTATTGGAATTTTCATAATGTGGCCACCAATGTCTTGCATGCCACACATTCTATTCCGAGACTGATCCTCTAAAGATACCACCAAGCCACTGTTCCAGTCTAGATATCTAATAGCAGTTGATGACGAACTTGCTTCTCTTGTAAGAGAATTTCTATGAATCACTGGATTAGACCATTTTGTACAGACAAGAAAAGAAAAGCACTCTGCAATACTATAGAAAAACAAAATAAGCCAAATTTCAGCATTGCTGCCAAAAGAAAGAAGGGTGAAGGTAAAAGACTATTCAAGGTCAGGGAATAGCACCCATAATTTATGAACAAGTCCCACCAGCCAAAGGCAACAATATCACCTGCAAAGTTAGAAAATATAGGAAATTAGAAATCAAGACTAAAGTTATATTTAGGAGAAATTAAGAATTCATGCAGTATGAAGCAAGCACTTGAATGGACAGTTCAGAGGACTACACAAGTCAAATAAACCAAATTAAAACCTTAAAACAACTCAACACCAGTTCACTGCTTAGAAAGTGAAATCTTATTGTAGATAAAATGGAATATGGAGTGTACAGACACACAACTTGAGGACTTGAAGTAATTGTCTCTACCACCAATGGGCATGGGGCAGCCACAATTGAATTTTCTCTTCTCTTCCCATAAATTCCAACCAAATAGTAAGACTTTCACAGAGAACATGATCAAATGGCCATCACATATGGGCAAAATTTAAATCGTTAGCTATCTTACGAACTACCATGATAATGGTAATATAATAATCAAGCACTAATGATAATTGAGCTTCCTTCTTTGTCTAGGGTAGCCGCTTGAAACATGGACCTTCTTGAGGGCAATTGTCGTACTATCACCAAGTGGAAATAAATAGGATTATTTGAGCTCAAAACCATGGAGAGCTATTAGATAGATACACGAGGTGTATTTGATATTGTAACGACCCAACATCTGTGTTCAAGTCATTATATCATGCTTACTATACGTTTCAGGAAAGTCTAAATCCATTTCACCTCTCACTGTATTCTATCATGTAGCCCAATTGATATTAGGATTCAAATTTAACTCTCCCATAAAGCAGAGATCTTGAGTTCGAATTATGGAAAACACGATAGAAAGCCATGAGAAGTAAGAAAGATTTACTCTCTCAAAATAGATAGTACGTATGATCTAAGACTTGAGCACAAAGGCCCAATCAATATAAAAAAAAGCAGGACGCTATTTAAGCCTCCCATAAGGTCTTTCTTGGGTCCAAACCATTTGGAATGTGATAAAAATTCACCAAGGGTAAGAGACAAATGCTCTCCCAAAATGGATAGTACATACGATATAACAACTTGGGAATAGAGGCTAAATCAATATAGATAGCACCAGACTAACTTGTCAATTCTATGTGCTCTCAGATTTGTTAAAGAAAGTTTTACCAAAAATAATAAGCCCCCATTAATTTACATTCTATTACATTTCATTTTTCTCTTCCCTATTTTCAACCACACAATCTTCCATAAAATAATATTATACGTAAATCGAAAACTTTTCTTTCTTTTTCAATCACTCATTTTTCAAAAAAAAAAAATACTATTCCACCCATTAATTTTTCCAAAAAATGGGGTCCAAACGGGGGCTAAGGCTCTAGCTCCTGATATTGTTAAGTCATAAACAAAGCAATCAAAACTTTTAAATCCTCTAGGCATTAAATCTGCAACCTGGAACTCTTTTTTGATGTCAGACGAGCTGTGTGCCTAGGTGATGCAACCCATAATTGAGATCTTCCATAAGAATCCAAAAAAGAAAACCTTGCACCTATCCCTATTGTCTATATATCCCAAGCATCACATAAAGAGGGAGAGAATGACCACCAATAACATTATTTACCATAAATCCGATTGTCATTACTCCCTTTGTTCTCTCTTCATCATACCCCAGAGGAGTCACATAAAAGTTACCAAAGATTTTTAGCTCTTCTAGTTCACGTCCAATTTTCCAACTGTGATCAGAAGGCTTGGTCCAGTTATCGACTAATCGTATCTCTCTTTTCTCATGTCTATAGTCATTGAAATCTCCCAGGAAAAACAGCATCTAAATATCGACTCAACCATACTCGTATCTCTCTCTTTTCTCATGTCTATAGTTATTGAAATCTCCCAGGAAAAACAGCATCTAAATATCGACTCAACCATACTCTTTTCTCCCATCCAGATCATTTATATTGATTCCAACATAAATTTCCAATTACTTTTAGCCACCCTTTGAACATCAATTTTCTTAGTAATGAAATCACCACACCTTTCGAGCATTCTCTTTGTGACTCAGTGTACAAAGAAATCTTTTTTCTTTTTTCTTTTTTTCTTTCTTTTTTTTTTTTCTTTTCAATTATGCTTTTCAGAGCCCCACTCCATATGGTTCCATAGAATTAACGATTTCCCACACCCCCTCTCATATCGCTATTCGCACTCAATGATGGGAATTGATGCTATACTACAGCTACACTTCTCCCCTTTGACCAAAGAGTTTCGAGTCTTTGGAAAATTGAAGGATGACAATACATCTAATTGAAGGATGAAAATACTGAAAACTCCAAAAAAAACAACACATTCCTGAGTTCATTCGTGGAAGGAAAACACAGGATAAAGAACTTAGGATGCAAGTTCTCTGAGACTGCTTGTCCAAGTATCTTATATTTTGTTTATCAAAGATAAAGCATGGGATAAAAATGGCAAACCATGCATTTCCAGAATTAGAGCTCTCATTTTTCCATTCCTTCAAACTTAGAAAGGAAAAAACTTCATAAGGAATGCACTGAATGAGGCAATTCATTAATCTATTTCCTGTCTATTCAGTAATGAAGGCAACATTGGGCAATGGATTTAGGGCGGCCTCTAGTAACTAATGGATTTTATTTAGCTAAAAATCAGAACCTCAAAAATGCCATCTGCTTCCCTCAGCTGCACCAACCAACAATGATCGCCCAACTGCTGAGCATAGAGAACCAGTTTGATTTTATTCCAGGAACATTTACCTCAGAAGTCATTTGCCTAGTCTGGGGATTAATGGAAAATACTCAACAAAGAAGAAATACTTGCATATGGTCTTTATTGATTTAGAGAAACTTATAATAAGGATCTCAGGGTAATATAAACAAGGACTTGATATTATATATATACACCAAAATTATTAGGGACCACCTTTGGTTCAAAAGGAGATATAGCACTACTGCACAAGAAAATGGGTATGAACTCTGAAAGTGATGATCTGTGATAAGGTAGCAAGGGAATGTAGTACGTATCAGAAGAGCAGAACTGACAATAATAACGACGACAACAACAATAATAATAAATATAGATTTATGGCATGCAAACTTTTTCTTTCCTTCTTTATGGCATGGGAATCATAGGAGAAACACATGCATAGAGCAAAAAGGGGAGGGGGGAGAGAGAGAGAGAGAGTCATACCACACAGCTTCAGGACGGTGAACACTGTAGCAGTAAGAAAGAAAATCATGGAGATCGCCACCCAGAAGTGCTAATTACAATTAAACTATCATTAGTAAAGCCATTTTGAAAACCAAGAAAACTAAAACGAAAATCTAGAAATATTCATAGCAAAATCAATAATATATTTCGATCTCTTCTGAACGACATTGTCCACATCACAAGAAAAAATTTTAAACTTCTTTGTAATGCACAAGAAAGTAACCAGTAGAATCTGGTTCACCAGCAAAACTTGCTATTGCAATAATAGAAGTGTAGTCATCAGAACTACTGAACAACGTTTAAGCACAGAGTAGGAACTAAGTTGGGCACATTTTATTATTTCTGTTAAATCAAAAGACTTACAGGAAGAGTTTCCCATATTGCCTCCTCACTCATGCTTTCATTATCTCCAGGTAATAAAGCCTTGCACATTCTGTTTCATTAATAGAAAATGTGTAAGGTAAAAGCAAGGTATTCCATGACAAATCAAATTATGAAAATTCCCCCCCCCCCCCCCCCCCCAAGAATATATGCCTTGTTCAAAAGGCTGAAGTATTTCAATTTACTTTTTCATGGTGATATTTTTGTTGGAGAAGCAACTTGCTTCAGTAAATATGTTCTACAAACAGTATTTTGGTGTATCAAAGAAAATCTATGACGTACATCAAATTATTAATTACTAGAACTTGCATATGCTGAGAGAAAACTTTTTCATGGGAAACAAAAGCAGACTGAAATATGGACAATCAAGTGGATAGTGTACCTAAAATTGTCAATGAGGACAATGACCTCAAATGCCAACAAAGGAAGGAAGACAATTTTCAAGTTCACTGCAGCAGAATGATTGACTGCATCATGGAAACAAATTAATAAATTGTAAAACCAATAACAATCACCAAAAATTTCTATGACATGACAGGAATGGCATCTTGTCCTAAAAGGCAAAAACAATAAATTCATCATGTCACCAACATAACACGACTTATGAACGAGGAAGAGGAAAGTAGATTACGACCACAAAGGGAAAAATATCTCCTCTTTTTGCGCAAAATAACAGAAACATGATTCATAAGGACGAGTAAACAAGGAAATAAAAGAAAGTTAAATTTAATTCCCAAATGGTACCAAAAAATATTGAAGGGTTTTGCTTCCTTACCATATGCGCTCTCTAGATGTATACAAAGAAGCAGTTCAAATGCAACAAGAAACGGCGCAGCAACAACAGCATGGCATGGTGCCCACTAACAACAAATGTTTGACAACAATATATAAATTAATAACCAAATAAATATATCAAAAATATCATGATGCATGCTCCAAGCTCAACTTCTTGGTAAGGGGATGCAACTTCCACTAGACTAGCAAAATTTGTATGGACAATGTCATTCCAAGAATATATGAAGAAATATTGTCATACATTGCGATCATGTGGAACAGAGGGAGCGGGTAGAGAGAATCTTCCTCGGGCAACAACGGCATGAAATAGCCACAGTGGAAAGAAAACAATCCTGCATATTAAAGAAATAGAATGAGACATGACATTAACAACAGTGAAGATATCTTAGCTGTTTCTAAGATCATCATTGAGGACAACATCAAATCATGTATTGACACTAAAACTATCAAAATGACGTGTATAATCTGCTTGGCGCCAGAATTACATGTAGAGCACAGCAAAATTTCAATTAGATACCTGCGAGATATTGGAAGATGAAGTATAGGATATTGGGATCTACAATTGCCAATATACCATGCAGAATTTGATGTTAACAAACATCAGCAATACAAATAAAATCAATTCTGTGTTCATTTCTTTCAGATGAGTAATCAATATGTTGCCTAAACCATATCCACCACCAACAAGAGATCCTCTTGCTACAATCATCTCCACCATCCACTGATGTAAATGCTCAAAAGTAGTGCAACTTGGCACTTTACATGTGGTGGGGTTTGTAGCGAATCACAAGGAGTTTATGCTGATGTCAGAAAATCCCCTGATCCTCAGGAAATTTTTCTGTTGTACTTTCAAAATAAATTGCTTGAATATCGGTTGTTAGAATTCATACTTAGGAGTCAAAAGTGAGTTTAACTTTTTAGATTTATAATTTTGCTCTATGGTCTTCGGTTTAGGATTTTCTATTGTTATTTTAGCATGAATTGAGCCCCCTACTCCCCAGTATTATCGCAGAATTCACCAACCAATGTTACACTGGGACCACTACCACGTTGTACAATGTGAAGTTGGGAAGCATTTAATCATTGGACAATGTGGCAGTCGTCCAACTAACACATTGACCACTATTAATCACCACAAGTGATATATAGCATTACTCCAACATATTGAATAAACTTCGTCAAATGTCCAAAAAGCTACTCTTTTTGCTTCTTCTCTCTTATTATCTTAACCAAAAAGTCTCTCTATGAAGCTAGCAATGATCCTACACATATTGACTACCTCATCAAGCACTATTCACTTTATACTTTAACTAAGCCCTTGTTTGGTCCCAATATTTCGAAAAATCTCTCTCTTATTTTCAAGCACGCGTTCTTTAATAAAATAATATTATACGCAAACCCAACATTTTTCCTTGATTTTTAACCACACATTCTCCTTCAAAATGCTATTTCAAAATGTATTTTTGGTATTAAAAAAAATAATAAAAAAATTAAAAAAAAATGGGGCTCAAAGATGTTAAATAAACAAAAATTAGTCTGTCTACCATGTGCTCCAACTTGATAATATGTAGGGGTAGATATTCGGTAATGAACAGTGTTCAGGACTCTTACATTTTGAATAAATAAATAAAAAGATACTATATTTCTGCATTCCAAATCTGTGACCTTTGCGTCTTCCACAACTCAAAAATTAATACCCTGAACTTGTTTTACTTATTTATTAAGAAAGTGATGTTTCATCTACACCTAATTTTCCTAAAAAAAAAAATGAAGAGAGGGGGAGAACATATAGTAATAGAATTATGATACAAACCCAAAATTCAAACTATTGTGGCAATTAATGGATCAGGATGATGTAGAATTATATCCAATGTTTTTAGACATACCCTCTACAGCATACGCAAAATATATACATGCAATCTATCACTCATTCCCTACGGAGTTCCTCCAGTCATGCCTTATTTTTTTTTATCTTCCAAGACTCGTTTCCCAAATTTCATCACCCCCCCCCCCCCCCCCCCCACCCCCAAAAAAAAAAAACTCTGGACTATGTTCACAATTCTTACAAGTATAAAAAGAAAGGAAAATCTCTTAGTCCCAAAAAGGATAGAGGAAAGTTCAAAAACAAATCTAAGGGACCTTGTTATGTTCGTGGAAAATCGAGACACTATACAAGAGATTGCAAGCACAAGAAACAACCAAAGAAGGTAGAAAAAATAAATTCCATTGATGAGATTATCGCTGTGGTGAGCGAAATCAATGTAATCTAAGGTAAAGTTTCAAGTTAATATTTCTTATGCTATTGAAAGATTTTCCGGTTTGGACAGAAATTGAAAAATAGATCTTTTCTACCGAATTTGGTGAGAAGGGTTCTAGAAATTATCTGGGTTTGCTATGAAATCATCGAGTTAAGTTTAATTATCTTTCAGAATAGAAATATTACAATTTAGGATTATTTAAAAGATTACTTTAATTTTGGACTTTAATATTAAGTCCTTGCTCAATAAGAAATAAAATTAGTTTTGTAATAAATTTTTATAAAAATTAATTAAATATAGGATTAAATAGTTACCATTCTCGTAAAAATATATGATTTAAATTAATTAATGACTTCAACTCAAATTAAAATTTTAGTTTTAATTCACACCAAACAATAGGTGAAACAATTATTGTTTGTCACTAGAATAAAAGTTTTTTTGGTACTCTCTATTGCATTTGGGAATTTTTCTTTCTTTTCTTCACTTTAAAATTTTATATTAAAATTTAAATTAAAATCAATAATTAATTTAAATTATATATTTATGGAATACACACATTTTTCGTAACACATTCTACCTATTTTTATTAAAATTTACTTAAAATTTAATTTTTATCTAAACCAAATAGGTTTTTACTTGAGCACCATCCAAATTTGATCATAGACATTTAGTTTGTATTTTATTAACAAATAAAAATAGTGGAAAGTATGTTTAGAAGTTGTTTATAATCCTGTTACAAATATATGAAAATGATGTTGAATATTTACGAAATTTAAACTTTATAAATTTTACATAATTGTCAATATCTTCACGTCAAATCACCAAGAAAAATAATTAAGCTTGTTTGGTACAGTTATTAATCTAATTAAAATCAATTTTTGATCTTTATTTTATTATTTCAACCGTCATTTTTGAATTCTTCTTTTACAGGTAGGATCAACTTTATTTCTAACGGTCAAAACATCAATTATCAAAATGTCTACCAAACAAACACTTAATGCCAAACATACCTTGATCAATTGATTTGTATTTCAAATGATGAATCTTGAATTATAATCTTTGAATCTTGTCTTTCAATTTTTAATCTTGATTATGGATTCTTGAATTATTTTTCTTAATTCTTTATTGTAGATTGCATGCTTTACAATGTGGATTTTGGATATTCCTCTTCAATATACTTTATCTATCATTCTTGTGTTGATGAAATGACACAAAGAATGAGAAATTGCATATGAATTGGGGATCATAATCATGTATGTAGTTTCCATATGTATTCCACCCATCATGAAATAAAATTCTAAAGAAATCTAATCTCAACACATATAATTCGACACAAACTTTATTTAGATGTCATAAGCCCAATTACTTAACTATTTAAAAGATTACTTTAATTTTGGACTTAATTTTAAAATAACATTTATGCACAGTTAATTATATGTGTTGATCCACATATTAAATTAATAATTTCCCAACAATCTTCTACTTGGGCTACATATGTTACCTTATAATCTTATGAGCTCAATACTTTTGCTATCATAACCAAAAAGCATTTCTGAACAATCTTGTATTAATTATGCTAATATAGGATCAAAGCGGTTTTCGTTATCAATATCATAATTAAACCCATCAATGGTCATGTTTATCAACACAGTCCAATGACATAAATCAAGTATGAATGTGTAGTATGAAAATTACATGCAATATGATCCAACACATGCCTATTTCCACATTACCTTATTCTTTAATAAGACCAACCATAAACTTTAATCAAGATAAAAATTGAACTGAACATTTTATTATTGAAATAAACTTGAATTTGCTCGCAAAAATCATGTGTGAAAAAAGACAACATCCAAAATACAAACTCTCATTAAACTAGCATATCATCAAAATGTACAACACCCATGTGAGCAGTGTGCTCATGAATAAACTTGGGTGGTAGTCTTTTAGTAAATGGATTTGTTATTATTGAGTTTGTCCCAATATATTCTATAGCAACTTCACCATTCTGAATTCTTTCTTTAGCAACTAAGAATTTAATGTCTATAAATTTAGACTTTGTTGAACTCCTATTATTGTTTGAATACAAAACTGCTGAATTATTATCACAAAATATCTTAAGTGTCTTTTGATTCCATCAAAAATTCGCAGCCTAATGACAAAATTTTGCAGCCATATTCATTGATTGAAATGCCTCATAACATGCTACAAACTCCACCGCCATGGATGAAGAAACTATGAGTATCTGTTTAGCACTCTTTTAAGATATATCTCTTCTAGCCAGCAAGAAGACATAGCCCATACTGTCTTGGCACCCAGCAAAATCAGAATCAAAATAAACCAATTATCTCCAATTGGTCTCATTTTCTGTATGTGAGCATATAATCTTTTGTTTTCTATAGATAGCGCATAACCTGTTTAGCTGCATTCCAAAGGGCAAAATCAGAATCAAAATAACCAATTATCTCCAATTGGTCTCATTTTCTGTATGTGAGCATATAATCTTTTGTTTTCTATAGATAGCGCATAACCTGTTTAGCTGCATTCCAAAGATCAATCTCAAGGTTACTTAAATATCTGTCTAGCATCCCAATAAATGCTATATCCGGACGTGTGTATACCTCAACATAAATCAAACTCCTAACTATTGAAGTATAGAGAATTCTTTGCATTTCCTTTTCTTCAAGGTTATTCTTAGGGCAACAGGGGTATCTCATTGGTTTGCAATCATGCATTCCATATCTCTTAAGTACTATATCGATAAAGATCTTTTGTGATAATCCAATAATACCTCGAGAACAATTTTGGTGCATTTGTATTCCTAATACAAAAGATCTGGAATAATTTATTGATTGTTTATAGGGAGTTCTGGAATACTATCTTGATTTGGAATTAATTCTTGACCAAGTTTTGGAGCAAATATTTGTTCTTGGTCCAAATCATAGTCAATTGCAATAGAAAGAATATTTTACATTCCTCCTCAAAGACAAAATCTCTAACTTTATCTCCCCCTACAAACTTTACATCCTCAAAGAATTTGGCATTTTTAATTTCGAAAATTGACTTTGTAGTGGGATCATAAAATTGGTAACCCCTTGACCTCTCTCAGTATCCAACTAAATAACAGCTGAGAGTTCTGGAATCCAGTTTCTTTTCATTAGGCTTGTAAGGACTTGCTTCAACTGGATAACCCCAAATGTGCAAATATTTCAAACTAGGCTTCTTGTTTGTCAGAAGTTCACAAGGATTTTGATAGTTGCTTTACTTGGAACTCTATTAGGAGTATAAACTGCAATCTTTAATGCTTCTCCACAGAGAGATTTAGGCAAAGTGGAATGACTAATCATACTCCTTATCATGTCATTAAGTGTTTTGTTTCGTCTTTCAACAACACCGGTCATGCTAGAAGAACCTGGCATAGTGTACTGCGAGACTATTCTAAAGGCCCTAGACGTTATTCTCTTGATCCCTCATATCTGCCATAGAATTTACCACCACAGTGAAATCTAACGCGTTTTATTCTTTTGTCAAGTTGGTTTTTAACTTTAGCCTTATAAGCCTTGAACAAGTCCAATGATTGGGATTTCTCGTGAATGAGATATAGGTAGCCATAGCAAGAATAATTGTCTATGAACATAATAAATGATCGTTGACCACGAAAAATATGAAGGTGAACCACAATCATTCAAAGATACTGATGGGAATAGCCTACAGATATCTGTATGAAATAGTTCTAAGACGTCCAAAGTTCTATTGGCACCTAATCTGTTTATGTTTGCTTGTTTTCCCTTAATACAATTTACACAAATATTAAGTTTGAAAAATTAAGGGGAATCAAAATTTTTTTCTGATACAAGCTTTTCAATTCCCTTTCAAGAAAAGTGACCTAAACGCTTGTGCCATAATGAAGCAGAATTCTCATTAACTAATTTACGTTTAATATCTCGTGAATTCATATGCAAGGTTTCGTTATAAGATGCAATCGAATTAAGCAAGTATAGATGATCATATCCAAGTAAAGAATCAGTACTCGCAAGATTTGAATCAAGAAAAAGACCAAATGAACAAGAATAACCGAATTTTTCCAATACAGAAATAGAAACCAAATTCCGTCTAAAGGACGATACCATGAAATTTTATTTCAAATCCAAATAAAAACCAGTCTTAATAATAATGTAAAAGTCCCCATATCCTCAACTTCAACTAATTTGATGTCGCCCACATAAATGAATCTTTTAGCATCATTTGGCTTTTGGATGTTCAGGCAACCTTGCATAGACACACTTATATGAGTAGTGACACCGAAATCCATCTACTAAGTATGTCTATGTACTGAAGTTAAATTAACCTCAGAACAAACTAAAGTGAGAAACATATCTTTCTTTACATGCCAAGCATAGTATTTGGTACAATATCTTTTCAAGTGTCTCGAGATTCAACAAAAGGAATAGCTAGATGTTTCATCATTTTCAGGCTTTTCATGTTTCTTTTGAGTTGGATCGGGTGCAGCTTCCTTATTCTTTCTTTTCTTGAACATGTCTTTAGAGGTACTAACCAAGTGAGCACTTTCAGTCTTGTCTTGCTTTAGCCTTTCTTTTTTTTGCACACAGTACAAAATGAGATCATTTAGAGTCCACTTCTCCTTTTGATAGTTATAACTAACTATGAATTGATTGTATTATGTAGGAAGAGAAATCAAAACCAAATGTACGAGCAAATCATCAAACAACTCAAGTTTTATTACCTTCAGTTTTGAAACAATATGAGACATCTCCATGATGTACTCCTGAATATTTCCGTTACATTTATACCTTAGTGAAACTAATTTCACTAGAAGCATACTAGTTTCAGCCTTATCACTTTTTGTAAATCGTTTTTCAATTTCATCAAGAAATTCCTCGAAAATAGTTACCTCATCGAATATGGGGCCACTAAATGATTCTAGAATATCGCGCTTCATGATCAAAAGACTCATGGGTTTGAACAATCCACTTGTTAAAGTCCCTTTTTTATCAACAAAACTTTTATCCATAAGTGCATAGGGTTGTTCAGTCACTAACGTAAGGTCTAAGTCCATACAGCCAAGAATGATCTAAACGTTCTCTTTCCAGTCCTTAAAGTTGATTCCATTTAGCACAAAATAGAATTGATGTTGGTAGATATTATAGAAGCAGAAGTGTTAACTGAATAGAGAACAACATGTTCACATTATAATCCGTATTAATCAATTAATAAATTCAAATAATGGTAAATACCAAGCACAACATTGATATTTAGTCTTTGAACAGAAATGCTTATTTGTAAGTGGTACTCTTAGCGTAATAATCAAATATTAAAAATAACCTATATCAAACAATAAATCTATCTTTGAATTGATTTATTGTTCACATAAAAGAAATATTACAATTGTCATATATTTATTACCACAAGCGTGTATGTAATTAGGCCATACATTTACCTTAATTTGGCCAGTGAAAATCCGCATGAATTACAAATGCACAACCTTTCTAATATTCAAAATAAATTAATCTATACAAGAGAGGTTAGTTTGGTAACATGTTGCTTCAATTAATTTAGTTTGGAAAATTAGTTATCGTAAAAGAAGTTTTAATACCATAATTTGAATTTGAATTTTTGAATCTTTAACCTTTTATTTTTATTTTGTTTTAAGCTTAAAAAAAGGGGGGGGGGGGGGGGGGAA